TAGGTAAAAACACAAAAATCGCAAAAAAATTTTTGAAATACACTTTTTTAAGTTTTAATAGTCATAAATATCATATATCATCATGAAAAACTTAAAAACAATACCTAATTTTGTTTCTAAGTGATATTTCTAGAAATGACGTTTTTGAGATTTTTTGTTGTTTAGGGTCGTTCACAAACAAGTCCTAAATTCATGACCAAGATAATACTAAACTACAAAGTATTATATATCCTTAGAAAGGTCTAGACTTAAGCTACAATAAACTGTAAACAGAATTAAAAAATATTGAGGTACACAAAAAAAAGAGCAGTTTGAGTGATGCGAAAACCATACAAGTCGTCAGATATGAAAAGTACCCTATATATCGGCAGATTTTGAACTTTTTGAAAAAATTTCTTCGCAGTTTGTTTTTAAATATTGTTTGTCATCAAAAAATAACACAAAACTCATTTTTTGTTGTTGTTTCGTAACTTTTATAAGATATTTTATTTTTTGTTGAATTATTCTACTACTTATTTAAATCAATTTATCTCAAAAAAGTAACAAAGAAATTTTGATGTTTATACATTTTTGAAAACTAGAAGACAGAGGCTAAAACACAATGTGCTTATATGACTGAAAAGTGGCCATTTAAGATCTTTGCGGCATGCTTGAATATATTTTTCATAAAATTTTCACACATTTCTTCCTATACTGATACCAAAACTACAAAATTACAAATTTTGTACATTATCAAAACAAAGCTCTTACATGGCACTATTAGAAATCGAAAAGCGTTTCTTAATATCTTTAACTATTAAAAAGATGTGACAGTTTAAATAAGACGTGAAAAAATTAAAATTTTCACTCATTTTCAACTTCAAACAGCCACAGAATTGTAAATACAGCATCAAATGACCTGAAATTTGGCATATAAGTCAATTTTGATGTCCTCTACAAGAAAAAATAACCCCGAAAGCGTATTTCAAAACTGTTCAAAAATTTCCTTAATTGCCGCTTTTTTTCAATTTTGCCCCATAGTGGTTTGAGTTGAAATTTCAAACTTAAAACTCAACTCGTTTTGTAATGAGTTTGAATTTTGTTTTAAAACTCAAATCATTTTTTGATTTCAAATCAAACTAAAAATTCAGTTCATTTGAAAATAATTTTTGATTTACATAACCTCGCACACCCTACATATGACCGAGCGATTAAATTAACAAAATAAATTTTAATGTGTTGTGAATTTATTCAAGAGCATCCAGTTTTAATAGATTAATAGAAAAACGTCACTAGAAAAAAAAAATATTTACAGTTTGATGGGAAATTCCCAAAACGAATACTTGTATTAACTGGAACCTGAAATTCTTTCGAAAAGTAGTATTGATTCCTTGAAATCGAATCATTAGTTTATTTAATAGAGAAGGGAAAAATTTTAAAGACTAAGATGATTGTTGATTTCAGGGAATAAATTTCAACAAGACCAAAATCAATATTCTTAATAATCTATAGATGGGCAAATCCGCGGGCAATAAAACGCTTCAAAATTTTGTTTTTCTCAAATTTCTCTCCTATTTGACTTTTAAAGTAATGTTTTAATACCAAATCATGCGTAATTTTAAAAAATGAACAACTTTTGATACTTAGCACAAGATTAAAACATTTAATTAAAGAGATATTTTGAATTTAATAGCGTTAATCGATCCTGCGCACGAAAATTTCATTTTGAAAAATCCAAAAAAAATACATGTTTAACGAATTAGACAATATGGCTTGCAAGTTATTGCATTGGAAATGCAATTTTGTATCATAAATTGACATCATTTCTTAAATATACGTACTCAATTTAAAGTAATTAACAAAAAATAGCGTTAATCGATCTTGCAGAACGTTTTATTGCGAAACTCAAGATAATGAATTGTTGCAAAACACACAATAATATTTAAAATTTTAGAAAACGTTGGAAAATTTTCAGTCCTACAATTCATACATTATCATACATATAACTGTGCTGAACATATATTAAACTTTAATTATAAACTTTTCTGCAATAATTTATTGATAAAAACCATCCAAAATAATTTAAACAACAGAATAATAACTTTTTATGAAGAAATTTTAACGTATTTTATTTTTTTGAATTCAAACAAGTAGAAAAATATTACAACTCGCTTTTTCCCAGTTCATGCTTTCTGCGGATTTGCCCAGATGTTTAAAGTTTGATGTATAGCTGTTTATCGAAAAATCATGAATTTTAAATAGAAATATTATGTTTGAAATGCATAATATATCAGCAGACAACAAGGAATCAAATACTTAAGTTTAAAGCACTAAGGCTCGTTCACTTATTATGTTAAGCAAAAAAAAAAACATTTCTAATTCCCATTTTCAAATTTGTTAATTATGTATTTAAAAAATAAATTCACCCAAATTTGTGTGAATATAAAAAATTTTCTTTCTTTGAATCATTGACACCCACCCTCCCCCAAAAAGAGTGAATGGCCCCTAATCGCCAAAAAAAAGATATCTTCAAATCAATGAAACTAAATGAAAAAAAAAAAACTTTCAAGCACCTTCTTAATGGCCTTGTTTAAAGTGTTTTTCAAGCCTTCTTAAAAAAAAAAAAATAATTGAACTGAATTAAACAATAAGAAATTTATTTGGGAAATAATCAATCCTATTCAATAGAATTTTTTATCGTTCGCAATAATAATTAATTATATAGTAAGTTATTAATAGCGTGGAGCTGATTTTAAATTTTAATTCAGGATCAAATGTTAAACCATGTTATTTCCCTTTATTTATAATAATTTTTCTTGGAGCTTTTACAACATTTTTGAAGAATTTATTAAGCACAACTGGAGGTAAAGAGATAAAACGACGTTTAACATTTTTCAACTAATTCAGCACTTTTTTATTGAATCTGTCTTTTAAGGATTTCAAAAATAAAATCAAACTTCATATGAGGATTAATAATTTGTTTCTAAGTATCTACATATTTCTATAAATTTCATTTTCTATTAAAAGATATCTCAAGTCATAATTTTATTATTTTGAGAATCGAGTCTAAATCTCAACAGGCTAAAATCTTGTTGTGTCTTTATCAAGTGTATTTTCTATAGTTCAAGTGTTTAATTGATATTTATACTCTAGTTTTTCATATGAATTGAGGTTCTCTCTAAAATGTTTTTTTTTTGTTCATTAAATGATAAACAATATATTTAAAAGTAATAACTTTAAAAAAAAAAAATGAAAATAGTTCTTAAAATTTTGACAATTTACAATCTACAAATTATTTTATCAACAATGTCTTAATGACCCAATAAGCACATTATAACCATGTTTTTTGGAGTCGTTTGCTTATACTCGAGCAAAATTAATCTTTTTTTATGACGGCTTTAGGACTGTTCACCTATTACGTCAAACATAAGAAAAATAAAGAATTGATTTTTTTTTGTTTCAATATATTTTGAACACAATTCAAAATAAGGAAAAAGAAATATTTCTTAAGCTATATGATTAGGAATTTTGACTAAAGGATTTTTAAATCCGAAAATTTTGATTATTAATTTAAATTCACAGCATTTTGTGCTAAATTAATGAAAATAAATGATGATGAAGAAGAGGACCTCAATTTAAAATATATGGTTAAACAAAAGATATATATAATATTGAACTAAAATATATAAGCTAAATATATTCTCTTTAAAACATGCAATAGAATCATGTTCACTTCAACATCATAAGATCATTAATAAGCGTTTAAAAATTAATTTAAAATTTTCTCGTCAGTTTGTTTTGTTATAAAAGTTTTTTACCACTAATGTTTTTATAATAAATTTTCGCTATAAGAGGCCAATTTTTCACTGTTTTTTTTTTTATCAGATTTCGTTTACTTTTAAACATGATAATAATTTTTAAAGCATTCGATTCGTCTTTTAATATCAAATTGTATACTATTTTCATATTAGGCAATTTTTGAAATTCCATAATTTCAATTCAAAGGTAATGCATACAATCAACATCACATCATATTCTCAATCACGTAATTTGAACAAAATATATTCTAATTATTATTTCTACAATAACCACACGGTACATATTATGGTGTGCATTTATATTGACATTGGTTGGATAAAAAAAGCAGTTACTTCATTTTTCCAACAAGATCTTTCTTTTCCCAATATTTTCAATATATTTGATGGATTTCTTGACTTAAAAATATTCACCGTGTAAAGCACAAGGCTCAATAAATTTAAAATAGCAGAATTAGCGATCATTATAATCGTTTGGCATTCTTGTAAGATTTCGTTTGGATAAAATGTAATTTTTAAAAGGAAATGGGGAAGGAGGCATGCAAATAGTCTTTTTTTATAACGTTACAAAATAAATTTGACACTAAACACTAAAATAAATTAAAATATAAATCCATCATTTTTTCGTTGAGAAAGAAGATCAAGTCAGTGTGAATATGCTGTCTTTTCATATCTCTCACTAGAAAGTTTCTCATTAAAATATGTTACGGAGCTTAAAAATTGGTAATTAATTTCATAATTCACAGCCCTGACCATTCATTTAATGATCATCAGTGACTCAAACAATTTTTCAATGAGTTTCATTTCCGGTAACATTAATGTTTTTTATATTCACACCGTTTTCACGTGTGAATTTATTGGTTTTGTTCAGATTGAAAACTCAGTTTTTCGCATTTTGTGAGAAAACGAAGCAAAATTGGTTATAAAATGTACAAGAAGAAAAGTTTGTGCCTGAAATTTTACATCATTTGCAAAAATCAGATTTCAGGTTGCGGCATTGCTGAGAAAATCGCAAAATACGCTTTCTGTAAGCAAACAAGCAAGCAAATTAATCAGCAAGAAATCTCAATAACGAGACATCGTAAAGACTTCTAGTTTTTTACATTTGATCCGTGCTGCTCTATAGAAGAGCTGTATTGTTTTTGGGCAAGGTAGGAACAGCCGTTGCTTCAGAAAAAGCAAAAAACTTTCCTTTCTTACGAATTTTTAAAAACAAAAGTTCACTGTGATTTTTATAAAAAAAAATTTTAAAAACTTTTATAGAATGTTCGTTAAGCTTTAAATCTTCAAACTTATGCTGAGCGAAGCTCAGCTGAGTTGCTAGCTTTATACCTTCAAACTTATGCGAAGCAAAACTCAGTTGACTGCTTGACTTATCAAGCTTCATACCTTCATACTAATGCTTGGCAAATCTTGGTCTGTCCATAAGACTTTTGATGGTACGGTGTGAATATAATCCGCATTGGGTTTCTCCCCGATACACTAGTTCTTTTTTAATTTTGCTCTATATTTAATTTTTTTAAAGGATATGTAGTCTCCTACCTAAAATAATATGCTAAATAATTTATTCAAAATTCATTACCAACAAAGCATTGCATTGAGTTATACTTAAAATCCTTTTGCCTAATGACATCCTTTGCGCTGTGTCAACTTTAATTTCATTGAAAGGAAATTCTTTTCGGGAGTATGACAGTTAATAGTGAGGTTTGTAACAAAGTTATAAAGTTCTTGCATTTCAGGCGGTGGTAATTGATGTTGAGAAATCATTCCTCTTGCACTACATTTATCTTTACTAAATTGATAAAAGAATAGTGGATGATGAGTACGTTTTAATTTCAATTTTTCGGCAACGAATCCGGTAAGATAAACGTCCTCGAGATGAAATAAAGGAATTGATAAGCTTTCATTGTAAAGAGATCTAGCTGTTTCTATAGTGAATACATAAGCTGAAAACATATGAAAAAATTGTGAGTTTTAGAGTTTTAGTTGTCATCTGTCGACCTTGCTTAAACTTATTCTACATACCGGTTCCGCTAAGATAGTCTGGATATTTAGGACCGCTGAACATATAGTTTGGTGCATACCATTTAGATCGGGGATCAAGAATTTTTTTCGCATTACAAAATTTGTAACCGAGTAATAAATGTTTGGATTCTGGTAAGCGATTCTTCTTTTTCGTAACAAAAATAGATTCTTTATCATAAAATGATATTGTTGACTTATAAATCGGAAGCGTCCCGCCAAGTAAGATGTGAATCAAATTCGGAACATTTATAAACGTGTCATCGTCACATTTCATGATGTACTTGACTGTTGTTTTAAAAAGATAAAATAAAATAAGCATAAATTGTGGGACCTTGAAGCTTACAAAGACACATTCTCATGAGTATAAGAAAAAGTAATAAAATAATAGAATAATAGTAGAAAACATAATAAGAAGCATGAGATTACAAGTGAAGGGACAAAGTGAATATATTCTTAGAGCTTTGAAAAAACTTGTCAAAGAATAAACAAGCAGTGTCAATATTATTAGCGTGTAAAATGTCAATTAATATGTCGCTAGATATTGAGCTGTTGCTTTATCTAAACATACCTTTGTCAATACAATTATTCCTCACCCACTTAAGCATTAGAATCGATTTTAATGTTAGGTTGTTGTAGCTATCTAAGAAATTCTCTTGAATTATATCACCTTGAAAATTAAAAAAAAAATAATTCATTCAATAAAACGAATGCAAAATGTCAATTACTTTACCATATTTTTCATGCTCATAATTAATCACCGATTGCTGTTCGTCAGACATTTCGGTGGGTGAGATTCCAAGAAGAAAGACTACGCTTATCCGAAAGTTTGCAAATTTAACAAGTGTTTGACTAGAAGCACTGCTATTGTCTATTAACTGCTATTTGGGAATGAAAAGATTAGATACTATAAACATATGATTATGCAAATTACTTACTTCTGAATATGTTTTCCAATCTTGGTAATTAATACTTAAATAACTAGCATCGTGGGATCCATGAAATTTATCAAATAGTTTGTAATTGAATTGAGATGTATTTCCCCATGTCTCGCGTATAGTTTGCCGTGCATCAAAATTATCTGCCGACGAACAGACTACAATAAGTAAGAGTAGAGGATCCTCGTTTATATGACAAACATTCGAGTCGATTAGTGTTGTATTGAGATTCGGTAATATATAATCTGCTATATCCCTAGATGTATTTTTAGACCATCCTGCTACTTCCTTCTTTATATTCATTTTAACGTTGCTAAAGATAATTAAGTGTATGAATAGTAGAAGCATGAAAATTGAAGAAAAAATTAATATCCTGTGATGTTTGATTCTAAAGTTATTATTGCTATTGTATTTGGGAAGTCTTCGCTTTAACGATGTACTTTTCTCTACAATTAATGGTTCGGATTCACTGCTATTTGCCGAAGAATCAATTTGTTCAAAATCAATTCTTTGCATTTTTTCAAGGCTGGATTCATGCGATTTCTTCATACTGTATGTTTCGATGTAAATTTTTAATATAGCACATATTCTTAGTCAGACTAGTTATGTTATCAGTGCGACTTGACAATTCACACTGCTTTTATTTAATTAAAATTAAAATTTAAAGAAATAATAATATGAAAAACTCCGAGTTTTTAGAAATTGAGAAAGCTTTGTTCGTATAGCAACTCCATAAAGTTTGTACTGTGTGCTTTATGTTCTCGATGATTTCTGTGACTAAACTCCTCTGCAACTATCCACAAAATTGTCTTTTGGCTTTATGTGCCTGTTTACTTTTTTGTTCACCGAAAAACCTAAATGAATTTTTATGATTAACTAGTACTTTTTGATGCTAGTTTATTCCTTACAACTTTATTAACTTTACATTTAAGTATCATATGTTAACTAACCGTCTAACTCTAGAAAATTGATAAAATGTTGAAAACCTAATCCGGCTCTTACAAAACAAAATAAGTATCATGGTTGAATACTCGTTATCGACAAAAGCGTCTTTTTCTGACTTATTCTGAGAGCAAACTACTAGACAGACAAAGTGTAAACAAAATACTCGTTCCTTAATCCCCGTCAGAATAAGCTAAAAATCAATTGCAAATAAAAATATTATTTTTTTTAAAAAGATAATCAAATTTTTGATTTTTCATATCTTAAAATTATTTTAAATAATTATGGGTGCGTTTTCGTCGCATTCGGCAGTAGTCAAGAGCTTTGAAAAGAACCAGCAATACATTAATGAAATGAATAAAATGAAGGTAATTACTTGAAATTATATATTAATTAATTTTTTACATAACAATGATATTTTAAGCTGGAACGATGGATTCAAATGCAAGCTCAAATGAAGCAAAGAGAACGAGCACAAGAGATTGCAAAAAATAGAGAGCTGTTTATTTGGATGAGTGCATTCTATTTAATCGCTGGAAGTGGAATTATGTCAAAGTAAAACATAAATTACGTCTTGAACATTATCACTTAATTACATGATCTTTGTTCCATTATAGATTCTTTCGAGTTAAGCGTCCTGCTGTTCTTTCGCCTTTAATTCCAATGAGTTTTGTTTTACTTTACTATGGAGATTTAAGTTATGGTACTAAATTGCATCGGATAAACTTAGAGGCAGAAATGATTATGGAGCATGAAAAAGAACTGCTCGAACTACCTTGTAATTTGCCTACTGTTGCATCTATAGACTCTGCACGAATTGAACTTGATGAAGAAAGTCGATTACATCCTCCACATGTCTAAGTGATTTTTGTGTGCTCCTAAAACATGATCAGTGACAATAGTATCTAGTCGAAGAAGAATTTCGTGATTAAAATTACTTCTAAAATGTTTGATAGCAATTTTGCTTATGAGTGAAATTAAGTGTAGATTTATTAATCATTCCATGATGCATACGTTTGCAGTGTCTTTAAACCAAACAATATATTCCCTTTTTGCATTTACCTACATTACTTAATCAATTTAGATTTCTTATCATGTTAGATAGATATTAGATATATGGACATTTAAGATTACACTGTAAAAAATACCAGACACATCGTATTATTCGTATAAAAAAATTTGTTCCTTTATATAAGATCTAAAGTTATATGTGTTCTAAATTTAACTGAACCGTAATATAATTAATTAAGTAGCATTCTAAATGATATCAAAGAAAAGATTTTAAATATTAATGGAATAAATTGAGTCTAATCAATTAAATACATGAGAAGGCTTGAGACTTTTCATTAAAATTCGTCTTTGGAATTTTCTTGATATTTAAATGAGCTAAGAATGTTTAATTTTTTTGACAGTTCCTCAACTTTCTTCTCGCTTAATTTATCTTTTAGCAGTTTTGCCATTCGTTCTTTTTGCTTGTTGACAAAAGCATCACCATTGTCGATAATTCCCTTCATTAGTACTGTATAGAACTTTACTAGACTCTTTTCCTACATAAACGTTAGATAATTAGATCAAAGATGTTAATGAATGGCACAAACATTACCTCTACACAGTCAATTCTTTTTATAACTTCTTCTGCTTTCTTTAAAATTTCTGTACGTTGACTTTTCTCTAACATGAATTCTTCTGTTATTTCATCCAATTTTCGATTACATCCCGGAGCTTGGATATAAACCTTTGAATGTTCTTTTAGGAATAAAAATAGTTTGGCTGTTGTGATATCTTCTTGACCTGAAAATGTGTGGAAAATAATGTGTTTAATAATTGTGATCACGATTAAAATAATTACCTTTTTCAAAATGTATCGGACTGTCTAAATCGCCCTCAATGAACAGCTTGATGACAGGAAATGATTCTGCTTTAATATCATACCTGTCTGCTATTATTTTATTCTCAAAATCACCATAATCTAGAAATTTCCGTTAAATCAAATCATTTATAATTTTTATTACAAACCCACCTTTTACACCTATCGTGGCAATTAAAACATCAGGATGACTGTGTCTATTCAACGTCTTGTTACTGATTGCTTGAGAAAATGCTGAATATGCTTCATGACTTGAGCCGTAGGGAAATGAAACATCAAACTTTACTCTATTAAAATGATAATGAAATATTTCAGGTATAATTAATTAACACATGTTTGCGATAGATCATTTACAAAGCTGTTCTAAATTTACTGATGGTTTTCGCAAATGTCAATTCGTCCAAATCAATGCACCCTCGGCAGCAAAATGTTAAATTTATTAATGAAAGTAATAAAAATATTATTCTGATCATTGTCCAAACTTTGAAGTGATTCTTTGGGATTCTCAATTGAAAATGTTAAATTTCACGTCAGTTCTGTTTGTTAAATAAATGAAGAGATTAAAGATAATACCGATGTTTTATTGTGACAGTTACAGTTGGATACCAAAAAGTTTGAAATGCTAAAGTCGCAATTTTGTTCTGGAAATTTTCTGTATATGTGCGCTTTCAATTCAATTAGAACGAGTTCTAAGGAACGTTTTTAAATCAATTAACTTGATATTTTGGTAACGAGAAAAGGTTCGTATATTACAACGTAAATTTCAATTCACATGTGCCCTGGATGTGCCTAACATCAAACCGTCAAAATAAATTTGAAATTATTTCCGAGCATGCTAAATACTAGGGCTTGTCACTTTCTACGTTCTTTTCGTTTTCTGCCCCCCAAAGAGTAAGTTTTGTAAATTTTTATAAATTAAGAGTTTATTCTTGCAAAATAATAGTTTAGTTAACTTAAATATGTAGATTCGATTTTTTATATTATGTTTTAACAGCATAACATCAAGTTTACTCAAAATATCTATGAAAAAATGAGGAAAAATGACTTAAAAATATTTTCTCGTGCTAATACACGCGGTTCAAAATTGAACTAGTTAAAGTAATTTAAAATAGGTTTATTATTCTTGCAAGTGTAAAAATCACATTAATTAACATAAAATGATTATAAATGAGTGCCATACTGAATGCATTTAAAGATGAATACTTTCTATGATTACAAACATTTTTAAAATTCATATAACCAAAAGATCCAGTGATCATAAAATAATGAAATTTTTATTTGTTCTTTTAGGAAAATGGCAACATCGTCTCATCTTAACTGGTTGATCGTTCGCGATCACAATGCTTTTATGCTTAAACAGCGTAATATTCCTAAACCATTCAGCAAGGTATGTATACAATCCATAAAATTGACTTGCTTTCAATTAATTCTTCTCAATGATGACTTTTAACCAACCAAGATCGCTGAACTTCTTTGAAGATAACTTTGCTACTTCTGATTTTTCACTTAATCAAGAAGTAATTTGTAAGAAAATGAAAACAAATCATTAATGCTCTTCTATGTTGCAGGAACAAAACAACCTTATGAATGTAAGCACATTCCGTTACAGTGGAATTGTACATCCACACACAATCGGAATAACTCCTTCAGTCGATAAGAAAGGAGTCATTTTCGCATACAAAAAAGCTAAGAAAATGGTAAGTAGCTTAAAAACTTTATTTGAATTTATCCAATATATTTTTTTGTGATGAATCACAGTTCTGATAAAAGAATGCTGACCACGATGTCCACTACCCCTTTGACTGATTACATTAATGAATAATCTTGACTTAAAATATATAAATAGGGGAAAAAAATGAGTGCTATCGTTTATTTTTACGTATTTATTTACAGTATAAACCAGCTGAAAGCACTGGAAGAATTACCTTTAAATCAGGACAAAAACGTACTTTGAAGAAAGTAAAGAATGTCATTCAATCAAAGAAATACCGTCGTGATTTACAGCAAGCTGCATTGAAACGTGTGAGCGCTATCTATCGTTCTCAAAAGACGAAACCAGCCAAGAAGAAGGGAGCTGCAAAGAAGACCGAGTAATTTAAATGTAATTCTGTGCTCTAATGTTTTTTGAACAATAAAACATCATCTTTAAAAAAACTGATATTATAGTTTAATTCACTTTTATGTACAAAATTTATCAAAAAATCGATAATTTTCTTTTTATTAAATTTCTTCCTTTATAAAACAACTTATTCTGATTTGCAATGCGAGTATTACTTGACATATAAAAGAATATGCTCACATAGTGAGCAACAGATTTTAACGAAATGAAATTCCATATTTTCTAGCAACTTGAGGTGAATGAATAGAAGCTATAGACAATAATAATGGTATATCATTAACAGATAAATTTAATGTATTAGTTAATGTGTTTAAGGAACAAAATTCAGTTTCCATAAGAAATGAAGCGAGAGTCTCTGAATGTAGATACATTTCTCGTAGTTTTGATTCAATAAATGAGAGACATTGATATACAGAAACACCTGAGCTAAACATGGCTTGAACACACTCCAACATTGAGGCAATTAGCTGTGACATTCCAATAATTCCATTTGCTGTATTGTGTGATGGTAGAACATTTGAATGAGACGATATTAACCGCACTTCCCATTTATCGATATTAGCTACAATTGCAACATTTTCAGCATGTGATTGTTCTAAAACTGCAGAATGAGATGAAATCATCAAGTCTTGTTTTAATTGTAGTTCCCATTTCAAAGGCGGAGTAGTCAGACCCTACGAATAATTATTAAGAATTAGATAATTGGAATAATTTTAATTTATTAATGAAAAGTTTTTTTTAAAGTACCTGTAAAATCATATCGGAAATATAATGGTCTGTAGCAGACGTAAATAATGATGTTGTAAATCCAGGTTTAAGAATTTCATCCTGAACACTTTGTTTCTTAACATTATCAAGCATTGGAATTTCTACAACCTTTATATCATCTTCACATTTAAGTTCTTTGTATTCATCTAATCTCTGTAGATGGGAAAGATTTGATGATGAATCGATAAACGGTTTTTTCTCAGGTGCCATTAAATAATTACTTTCGTGTGATTGATCACTCGAGAATTCAAGCTCTGTTGCATTTGAAGGTGTTTGGAGGTAGTTTAAATTACTTCCATTTTTACAGCATTCACATTCTTCATCAGACTCACTAATGTCAAAAGACTGTAAGGTTACATTTGATGCAAAATCCGATTTCAGTTGACTAGAACATGCTGCATCTCGTTCTAGTTTCAAGCCTTTTTCGAGAACTTCAAGCTCGCTAAATTCTAAATTTTTACTTTTCATATAGTTTGTTGCTATTTGTGGATATTTCTCAAAATTAAACTTAACGCCGGAATGTTTTTTGTTGTGCTTACAAACTTTTTTCTTTGTACCGCTACTTGAAATTTGAGCAGATGATGTGCATGCTTGCGCCTCCTCATTACAAGTTACTATTGTTTGCAATGATGGACTTGTTTTTAAACCTATAAGCTGCTCATTATCTCCTAATACAAATACCACATTTGCATTGATACTCTCTTCCTCCACGTTTTCAGATATCAATTTTAGTTTTTCAATCTTTTTCTCATCCTGAAGATGCTGTTTATGTTTTGCACTAATCCGTTCTAAATGCTTTATCTGTTCCAAATTGAGTGCTTCTTTAAATTGATTTTTCTCCCAAAACATTTTCATGACATTTTGTGCACCACCCAGACTATTTTCCGTTATTAAATTAGAAAGACTAATAAAGTTGTCTAATTGATTTTGTAAATCAGTTTCATCATCAAACTCGATTGTCTCTTCAATGCCATCACTATCAGGTCGTGTTACAGTTAACTTTATATGATCACCAGTCAAAGGTAAAATATTTTTTTGATATTTACTTAAATATTGCCTATCTTTAGCAGACATTTCAATTCCTGTGTCCATACTTTTATTTCCTATTCTTAATTCTTGCTTTACAAAACGCGAGTCACGAAATGCTAAAACTTTTGGAATATCATTCATCACGTTCTTTTTCAGTATTTTCATCAACAATCTATATGCCTCAGGATCAAGATCACTAAAGTTATCTATCGTTGGCCTATCATCTTGCTCGATTGCTTTACTTAAATCTTTCACTGTTGTTGCTGTTCTCGTCAATCCACCCGTCTTTTTTAAACTTCGAAAGCTTGAATTGCTGGAACTTGACGGTTGAGTTTTAAGACTTTGAAATGTTTTCCTTTGATTGAGTTGATGATTTACGACTTTGTTGAGTTCATCCTTATCAAACACTTTTGTGTGAGTGTTTCTTCGAATTTCACTACATCGAATGAAGTAAGTCAAAATATTCAGCAGTCTTTCAATTGTTCTCACGTTTGTCTCATTTCCACATATTATCGTTTTACTTAATTTTATTGGATTCGTTATGGCACCACATAAATCACCTAAGAAAATACAAAAAAAAAACGGGTAAGAGCTCCTTCACTGATTACGTATATTTTTGTTAATTTCTACATTATGTTGGTATTATGAAACTGAATTGAAGTGTTGATGACAAAATTCCTCTTTTTCATGGATTTTCTCACCTATTTGTGCCCATAATGCATTATATGGATAAATTTTGGAGATTTCTGATAGTTTCAAATTCTCTTCTTCAATGAGTTTTGAAATGAATGGATTTGTGCCATTCTTGTTTAGTGTTTCTCTAACGTTTGAGGTCATTAGAGGTGCTACTGTTCCTACCCATCCTAGATGATGAGTTAATACTGCCGTTAAAAGTGTACTAATGAAACTGTCCAATTTGAAAAAAAAAAAGAGATTTAATGTAATTGAAATAAATGTGGCTGCATTCAGACTTACAAATTTGTATCTTTGGTATCTGCTGTATTTAACAAATTGCACAAGTCATGCATAAATTCATGAGCCAAATTATTTGAATTTTTAACACCTGTACTTAAGCTCAACCATACTGGACTAACAATTCGCGGTGCAGAAAATAAATCAACCAACCACTGAGAAGTTATATGCCAAGTTTTAATCATCAACTATTTAAGATAAAAGATTCAATGAAAGTTAAGACAACTTTAAACTAAAAATGAACTTACTTGAAGAAAATTCTGTCGATTGATGTATGCATTTTCAGCTGCTGTTCTTAGTCTGTAAATCATTTGTTCTAATAACACCATGTGCTCAGAACAAAACATCAACATTTCATGCTCCATACACTCACTCATATTAATACAGACGGCAACAGCCAATCTAGGTCGCTTTGTGCGATGATGTAATGTTGATGAGTTTGATGATAGTGCATCTCCACTTGTAGTTTTTCTACGCGATTCCACAACCTCACTATTTCGTCTTAATTTTGATACACAGCCATCACTTAATCCGACAATGTTTGAGGCACCAGTCACAGTGTAGTAATTATTTTCGATGATATTAGACATATTTTCTGTTATTGTCGATACATTTTCAAACGACGTCGATAAATTTTTCATAATACGTCTATTAAAATGTCCAAATTCACAACCAGGATATTCTGAAACTGATGATGATATGCTCATCTTACGACTATGAGTTTCAATATCACTATAAATTGATGCAAGACTAGATCGCGCTGATGAGTATGGATATCGTTGCTGAGCGGCCCATACTTCAGAACTATTATATCCTGAACTATCTCCTATACTTTGTGAAATAAATTTAAAATCATCATTATCTAATGATAAGGCAGTTGGAACATCTAATGGAATTGTTTTCATATGGGAATTGTTGTTACTTTCGCTTACAGAGAAGGAATTTAATGAATTCGTTTCGGATATTGAGCCACTGATTTCACTTATCAAATCAGATCCATAGTTTGAAGACTGAGTGTGAGCCGAAGACGAATGGGTATTTGTTGATGATGATGATGCTGAAGAATAAGGTTGGACAGGAGCAAGAAAAACTTGTGAGCACAAAGTTCTGGTCGGTGAGTGTAGCCAATGAACTTTAAATGAAGTTCCTCGAAATGATATTGCAACAGAACCAAAAACCATCTCGGCAATTTGATTGAAGTCTTGACTAGGACGTCCATACTGTTGATTTATTGGATATTAATTTTTTAAACTGTATTTATAAATTTTTTTTTTTTGCTTGCACACATACTTTATATGGTTTCCCTTCATAATACTCGATATTGTTTTTATCTAATTTTAGTGGTGAAGGCTTTGTTTGTGTAGCTGCAGTATTCAAAGCAGTTTGTTGCTGTGATTGAATCGGTGTTGTAACGGGTTCGATGGCACTAGAATCGAACAACAATCGCCTGCCTCTCCAATCACATTCTCGGAATAATAAGATTCTTACTTGATCCTTACTGAATGGAAATTGACTGTAATGAAAGAAAGGAATAAAGGATTTTTAAAATATCATATTTAAATTAATATTTAAATGACACAGTTGAATTATTCAAACCTTTTTTTTGCTTTTCTACGGAGGAACCAATTTTTTATACGATACATTTTACGTCTGTATCCTATAGAAATTGTTTTAGAAATGCTAATTTTCGTTTATTTTCTAAATTTTCACGATATCTAAAGCGTCAATTAAGGTTTCGTAAAGACATATATTTATAAAAACTATAAACACCTCCTTTTCACAATTAATGACGCAAACATCATTCATCATTTTGTAATTTTAGTCAATGAAAAAGTTTCTTACGTCTCATTTCTCAAACAAATAATTTACGAATTCCTTTATTTCTCGCTAAGTTTTTTGAATGACGTCATGTTAGCGTACGTGAGCTATTGAATTGTGTTCTGTACCCATTGATAATTAAGTCATTACTTTACATCAAAATATGGGTAATCTTATCCATAGATTATATATTTATATTTGATCTTTATTTGATTCTTTTAAAAATAATTTTTATTACGATACATGAGAAATTTTTTCAAGTGCAGAGTCCTTCTCTCAAGTTCTTTATTGCTTAGATAAATTAACCTGATAGTATTGTTGACTTGAATCGTGTGCCTACTCAAAAAATTTTAAAAAAATTAATACGATTCCAATGCTTTGGGCGCTCTAAGGAAATTACTTTCAGATGTAAATAAATTCTGTGTCATTCATCTTTGCTATATTGAGCGAAAAGTCACAAGATTTCTGGTTTTATGAAGGGGCTGTTCACTTATTACGTAACGCGAAAAAATGACTTCTTAGACCCCCCCCCCCCCCCCTCGTAACAAAATTTGTATGAAAAAAAAATTTCCTTGTTTGAACCGTAACAAAATCTTAGACCCCCCCCCCCCCCTCCCACTAAAAGCGTTACGTAATAAGTGAATGGCCCCAAAGGTAAAAATATAAATGAGAAACAAAAAAGTCCACCTACAATTCTTGCACATGTAGAACAGTCATGGCAGAACTGACATATTGTTATTTCCTCCACACACATTTATATCTGAATTGTTACGTGCTTACTTACTGCGTAAGAATCACATGAAAACAATTAGTCTCGTAGTAAATTTAAAAATACTCATCTATCATCATTTAGCTGTCCAATTTTTCATCAAGAAAGATTATTTTAGATTACATACTTATCGATTGTTTTGTAAGCATACGAATATGTGATTATTTACTTCAATAGAAATGGATGAAAAACATTACTGATATTCGATTTATATCGACAGAGATATGATAAAGTCGCGATAGTCTATCTAATAAATCTTTTTTACACGTTCATGTTAATTCGAATCACGTCAAAGAGGTCCTAATTTAACAGCAACTCTTCTTTATCTTAATTATTTACTTGTCACATTTAATTTGTACGTTTAATCAAATTCACGTGCTCTTTCTTCTTTTTCTTGTTGTCATTTCGGGACATACATTGTGCTTTTCATAACAAGAAATGTCGACACACAAGCAATTTAGTTGAAGAATGAGTAGTTTGTCTGCCTTAGAGTGCTAAGTTTCAATTGTGAGGGTTTTAGTATTTCAATTTCTAAAATGCAATCCGAAGATCATCAATCCTTTTGTTTCTGCGAATTCTCAGATGCTGAATTATATCTTTGTGTTTCTGAACTCTTCCTCAGACGGGTTAAATCAAAGAAGGAGGAAAAGCTGTGAATGATCTAATTCTGTACACATTATCTTCCTTCTGTTTACATGAATAAAGTCTTGTGATGTGAAAATGAACAAACATGAAAGAAAAACTGTTTGTCGGAAGATGATAAAAAATAACTCTCAAGCCTGCTTTTTTCATCGGCATCACATGATTCCAGTGCAAACAATTAACAAAAGTCGACAAACAAATTATTTCAACTATAGCGCGCGATATTGTTTATTGCCATTTTATCAACACACATGATTTGGGAATTCCTTTACGATATTGTTCTGAAAAATATAATATATTATCTAGCATTGATTTATCTATTTAATCCGTGACGGCATTCTTTAATTTTTTTTTCATCGTTCCTTTAATCAGCGGCATTGCTTTATGCAAGAACTGTGTGAAAGTCCTTTTTAATGCAATAATAATAATCTTATGGCAATAAATGAAATCAAATGATTAATAACGTTCTTATAGCGGTGATAAAATATTTTCTAAGGAATCATATTATAAGATAAGATACTGTAAGATACCATACATTTATATATTTTATTTATAGAAGATTGACATGTCAATAAAAAGCGTGATTTAATTTTCAATATCACATTGATAAAATGATTTTATCATTGTAAAATTTGACAATTACAAGTTAATTATATCTTTAAAGATATATGAGAGCATAGTAAATCTATAATTATTAATAAGCGTGTGATTTACTTTCTTTATAATCTCCTAATAATTATTATTAGCTTTGTAAAAACACGTGTTATTTTTGAATATTTCAAATAGAGCAAAACAATCTTATTTAGATACTGTACGGATGTTACAAAGAAATATGTCACTCTTGTAACAAAAATAATTTTAAGGAAGTCTTAGGCTTGTCTATGATATAAATATTTATTTATTTATAAATAAGCTAAAATAAAACCTTTAAACTATAAAAGTTTGAACAAAGGTTTAATTCAATTGAATTGTATTGTGCAGAAATAATAAAATCAAGAATTCATTTAATTGTTTTTGATGCAAATGCTTAAAGTCACATCAGTAATATTAGAAAACAGGCTTTCTTAATGATTCTTGAATATTCTTAAGCTATTACTTTTATGCTGTTTACGAAAAATATTTTTATTTGAATGTAAAACGTGAGCAACTAGTTGCAACTTGAATGCAAAGATTGGATTTTTTTTTGATTGTCAAATCTCTTCCAAATATCAATGAATGAATTTCAAAGGTCGTTCAACACTTGATAAATTCATTTGTTGTTAAGGAAACTTTCGGTTTTCAAAATTAATTTAGTATTGGGCAAGGGTGCGGAACTGATAAATTGCATAATGATAATTTTTGATCAGTTTTGATAATTTTCGATCAATTTTGATAAGTTTTGATAATTTTCGATCAATTTTGATCATTTCATCAGTACCACACCCTTGGTATTGACTTTAGATGAATAATAAATTTATTTCAAATTTTTATAAAAAATTGATTTTCCCAGAATATTATGTCCAGTCATACTTTTCGTTATAAACCTTTGCACTTAAAAGCACTAAAATCTTGGTAAAATCCACAATTTTAAAAATGAGTCTGGACGTTGAATGGGTCCAACATGAAAACAAAATCTAAATGATCAAAACAGGAAGAAGCTTTGTCTTACCTTGATGATGTATGTGATGATGATGGCTTAACGGATTTTCTTTTGTTGAAAAGTTTATTGAATAATGCCATAATTCTTTTTTGACTTTAATGCACCTTATTACATCTTATGAACTTATTTAACCGCACATCTTTGAAATGCCTATGTTCATTACAATTTTAGTCACTCGAATAATTTTAAAGTTCTCTCTTGCTGTTTTCATATCAATTTATTGTTTTTTCTTAATCCTTTTCATTTTTAAATTGCACATTAGTCACATGTTTAATTTTATTGGTCATATGCCACTATAATTGAATGAATATTTTTTTCAGGCTTCAGTAATTTTTAAAATTAAGGCATTCACTAATAACAATCTTCACAAGTTCAAAGTTTAGTATTTGCGGGATTTTTTTTTCAGGAAGAAATATCTGAAATAATACAAATAAATAATCACATTTGTTTTTGAGGACTGTTGCATAAAATATATTTTTTTTGGACAACTTTAATGAATGTCCTTCACCAAATTAGGAACAAAAAAAGACATCTTAAATAAGATGTGGAAACAATAGTTAAGATATTTGACCAGATATAAGCAGTAGGTATGGGTCAGAGCGTATATAGATCAAGAGTGTGAAAGAATATCAAATGAGCTTAGAATTATATTGCATAAATAAATAAATAAAATAAATAAATTATAAAATTTTAATCTTTAAAAGAAAGTTCATCAAGTATTAACGACAACAAATGCACATTCATCTCGCATGTACGTGAAATTATATGGAATAATAAAACCTTCGCACACTATTAATATAAACCATGTGCTTCACACTTAAAAAAATATTAAATATTTTCTCTTCGCTCGCGGGGACGAATTAAATGAACGTCCATAACAAATATCATTCACATCAATACAGTTAAAAAAAAAGTTAAGTTGCACGTCTACAAACTTTGTCGTTAAGTGCAATGATCTTGAAAAATGTAAACAATATTTAAGCAATAAAAAACCGATTCTTATCGAATATGCGGCGACGTCACAATTTCATAGTTCCCGAAATCACGTGTTTCTATTTTCAGCTTTAATCGACAAGCCTCAAGTCATATGATTTTCATCATTTGCAATGTTGTGTTGGTTCGTATATGAATCACGGTAAACAGGCTTGCGGCGATGTATGAGCGAAGAGAATGAAGCAAAAAATAAATAAAGAAAAAGTTTCATATACGAATCGAGAGTCAGTGAAGTAGACAAATGTCGCTCTGCTGTTTTTTGTATATTAACCACTCATGCTTTTATTTGTTGTATGTTTCATGTGATTGCAGGTGACACAGAAATTTTCCCAAAACTTAAATTCACAAAAACATTTGTCAAGGTCATGATCTACTAAATGTAAATGATCGAACCGGCGTTGCTTATGAGACGTTTTATCGATCATTTAATGTATAGAAGAGAAACTTGTAGTGTCGTTTTAATTTGTCACACACATTAATTAACATAAAAAAATAATATCGCGCAACAATTGGGCACTTAATCGCATTCACATGGTTGTCTTATTTTTGTTTAAGAGTCTGGAAAATTCCATTAATGATTATACATTTAAGACTCAATTGTTTTTGTTGTTATTATTAAGATACACGATCAAATAAAGTTTTTTTTTACACTTTAACATTGTTCAATTAAATTATTTACCTTAGTCGTGAATTTATAGACTTAATTTAATGTTTGAAGTATTTTTAATTCTTCTTATTACTACATTTTTTATTGTTTATTTCATTCAAATAAAAAGAATGATTTTTCAACACTATAAAAGCACTTCTCATATGTGCTTTTCTTCAAAATTTCAAGATGTTGACTCTTTAAATGTCTCTCGCGAAATGACAGTCGTTTCTTTAATTTTTTATGCCAGCAGTCACAAAAACATTTGTAGTTTTCTTTGTAGGTATGTTTTTCTCTCTCTTTCTCTCGTTTCAATTAGGTTTAGCATGTGTTAGAGAGATCAGTAAGTCCGAACGTAACAACATTTACACGAAAGCTACATGTTTTGCAAAGAGTGAAGTTGTATCTTGTAGATCATCTGCTGTTATATTTAGGAGCTTTTTTTATATTAATTAATGTAAAAGCATATTTTTATAGATTTTTTAACAAATTAATTTTATTATTATAGTTAAATAACTTATAATAATAAATATATTTTTTTCTATACAGTTCATAATGTTTTAATTCCTTTTACTCTTAATTAAGTTCAATAATGTTGAGAAGAAGAAAGAATAGAAGCACAAGTTTGTATTGTGCGCATTTTATGCAAAAATTGGACAAAGCACGATTCGGTAAAAAATATACAAGTTTTTTTTTTTCTCTAAACGATTCATGATGTGATAAATCTAATCAAATGAGAATGAAATTTTATGATTTAATTAAATAGATAATAATGGAATGTGCCAATGATATTTATAATGAATAGAAAATGACTGGAGTTGAATAAATTCCTAACGAATATTTTCATGTTTGGTCTCTCCAAGCTCAAATCAGTCAATCAATTTAAATCCAATCAAGACTTCGAGTTAATGAGAAATGAATATAAATATGCCAATTATTGCTTCTAAAATTTCACCGTCATTAATGAAAGGAGACTAGAAGAAGTAGTTAAAATATAAGGAGGATAAGTTTCTTATCCTAAGTGATTCATTCAGTTTTCCTTTTTTGGTCCACAATTTACAGATTTTCTTGTACTGACAGTTCTATCAGTATCATCAATTAGTGCTGAAGATAAATTGGTCATCGATCGTCTTATTTTGTCATTATTTCCGTTTGTCGATATTTTATTAATTCTTTTAGGAGTTGTTTGCGATTGAGATCTTTTCTGTCTTTTATTCGATTCAGTACGACTTTGGTTTTGTGTCAGCCAAATTCTTCGAGCAGTCAACATACACAAGTCTTTTAGGTTTATAAGCCAGCCTCCTAATGTCATAAATATTTCGCCTAGGGCATTATATTCGTTAGGAATGATTCCTTCCACACAGCTCTCAAAATACGAGAATAGAGGGAACCAAATTCTTGTTCTCGTTGAATCATGTGACATTAGCGCCTGATTATTTGCTAATGTATGATAATACAGAAACAGACGAGATGATATATAAAATGCTATGAATACCTTGAAGACAAATGACGATAAATATTATAATTAAATTTAATTGCAAAAAAATATAAAAAATTTCCTACATCAATTGAGTAGTGCTCATGAGCTGCCAAAATGAAGAATATTCCAAACATGTTAAGGAGCCATGTTATCGTGTGTAAAAAGTAAAGGTTTCTTGGTGTATCTATTGGAAAAAAAAAATTATATAAACTAAGGATTGGTTTAAAATATTTTTTAAGCTACCTACATTCAGTAATAAAAAAGTTGAGTAATGTTAATGCAACAGTATGTCCTGAAAACATGTAATCTCCACACGTTCGGACTCCCTGAATTGACATTCCCAAACCACTCCAGATAGTATAAGCACGACTTATTCTATTAACAAGCATTTCGAATACATTAAAATCCTCGCCATCATCAAATTTGTGGTCTGATGATTGACATTGCAGATGAGATCCTGGTACACTTAAAGATGTAATTAGCATCGTGAAGCATCTCAACAAGAAAACTGTTCCACCGAGAGCAAAAAACCTTCGTAGAAGAATCATTCTACAAAATGAATAAAAAACAAAATTATGACATGCCAAATAATATATAATAATTTTAATGTACCTATATTTATGAAATATTAACACGCAGACCCAAACACTAAACAGAATCGCACCTGTGACTTCGCATGCAAAGAAAGCCCAAGAAATATGAGGTACGTTATCCAAGAATATGTCCGGCAAAGGAGGATATTTCTTGACGTCTGGAACTCTTTCATGTACCACCACCATCACAAAAGCAGTTAACCAAGTCACCAAGAAAGCATAGCCTAAAAACATAAATTTAAGTTGTAAATTAATATGACTTTATGAGTGATCTTCATACGCAAAGATTATAATCTTTCATACATATGAAGTGTTTCTGAGTAAATTTTATGAATATGCCAAAAAAAAATTCAATTTTTAAACTATTCAAAGCTTTGAAATGCTGAAAAGGTTAAGACTCGTTTTACGCTTGCCACAGCATAAAGTAACATGCACATCCATTTTGTTCTATTTATATGGTTAATTAAAGAGATATTTGCCATAAATAGCGTTTATGAGGCAACTTTATAGCTTTTTTTTTGTGCATAATGTAATAGATTTATAGTAATTTAATTATAGTGAAAATGTTTTTAATTGTAATCAGAATAATTAAAATCAAAATTATAATCTTTGTATGAAAGATTATAAAATGATTGTAATCTGCGAGAGCCTTGATTTTCTAATCATGTTATAACTAAGTTGTGTACAGAATTATTAACAACCCTGATATCGAAAATGATCCTTGAAAATAATAAGTATTTAAGGGACAGTTTCATCAAAATTTCTTGAGTTTATGCTGATAAATCCTGCAATAAGGCTCAGATTGAAACATTTCCAAAAAAAACTTTGTACTTTTTGGTTGATTTTGGAGCAAAGGATCTTTAGCACCTTAAAGGCATTTGCAATAAGAAAGAAATCGACCAAAATATGTGAAAAATTAAATAGGCTCAAATAGCATTCGCAATCACTCAAATTATGTCAATTAATTTTTAAATGATCTCTTTTTAAAAATAAGTACCCTGTTTTTACGTTATAAGCTACTAGTGACCAAAAAAATCATTTTTTTTCTAATAAGGGGCCATTCACTTATTACGTAACGCTTTTAGGGGGAGGGGGGGGGGGTCTAAGATTTTGTTACGATTCAAACAAGGAAATTTTTTTTTCATACAAATTTTGTTACGAGGGGGGGGGGGTCTAAGAAGTCATTTTTTCGCGTTACGTAATAAGTGAACAGCCCCTAAGACACTAGCTTATAACAAAACAACATGGTAGTCTCAAAAATCATTTCACTGGGTGACAATGTTACATAGATGAATAATGAATCATTCACGATAATAATACGTTTCCCAACAAAGAGAGTCTATCACGCAACAGCTGTGTGTGCTTAAACTTTAAATCTATTATTTAATCGTCTTATAGAATACGGACATTAAGAACGAAAAAATTAAGCATAAACATAGCGATATTACATTATGAATAAAAATCAGCACAATAAAATAAAAATGAGGACTGATTTTTTTTTAAAAAAATTCGAGTAAATCAGAGCTGTTTGTTTTGCCAGATAATGGCGATTAAGGAAACTTCAATCATCAAAACAAAGAAATGACATGAAACGTGCAAAAAAACATTCGTTATTTTCGATAGTCAATTAATCAAAAATTGCAATATCTTCTTTCTTTTAATTAATACAATAAATACGACGTCGATATTCAGTGAAATATGAAAATGAAATTGTTAAAAGTAAACTTAAAGATCATGAAATGGAAAAATTTCCCAAAATGAAGTAACTGTAATTTTTTGCTAGTGATTCACGTGTGCCACATCATGCATTTTATGAAAAAGAAATGTTAAGCATATACTGTATAGCAAGTGGATAAAGACTTATTTATTACTTTGATATTCAACGTCATAGAATAATTTGCTCTAAATCTGACAATCAAAGTCAAGGCTCCATTTTATTTGTTTTTATTTTGCATGCTCTTGTGATTGCCACTCTAATTATTTGCTTTTTTCCGCAATCATTTCAAAAACATTTTAAAGACAATATTCCTGTATTGTAAAGTACGAAAAAAAAAACTGCACGCTGTAGGCACAACTTTATTTTTGTTCGAGAAGTGAGGGTCATTCTGAGAACAGATAATTTACTTGGAAACAAGAAAAGAAAAGTAAAACGAAATGAATTTATCTATTGATGTCCGATGATTAACTAAAAATAAAACAAAAATCACTTCAGTTCACTTATTACGTTCGCATTTTAGGGGGGCGGGGGGTTTGAAAATTTGTAACAAAATGTAACATAGGGGGGGGGGGGTGTCACACCAAAATTAAATAAAATAAATTACGAACGTTCAGGGGGGGGGGGAGGGTGTGAGTTGTAACATATTGTATCAAGGGGGGGGGGGGGGGGTGAAAAAGGTTGTTTTTTTGCGTAACGTAATAAGTGAACGGCCCCTTTCCGATAATACTATTTTTTGTTATTTACAGCTAGACCAAGGCTCGTGTATTTGAGTTTTTGAACGAGCTTATGAAATTATAAGACTTTTTATGGATCATGAACGACACGTGTAATAATGATAATGAGTTATTGTACATAAATATTATTCAGTTTATCCACATACCTAAACTAACTATAGTTTTGAAGAATTCAGGCTGAATACATGTTGCAAAGCATTTTCCTGAATTAGAGCCGTCAACAGAATTTGGTGGTGAAATATCTATATCGTGTAGATGATTTCTTTCAGTCAGGATGTTATGATGATGTGATTGAAAGGTACTACGATGTTGTGAATTAGAATTTAATAAGTTGTTAATCAGATTGCTTTGGCTGTCGATTAATCCGAGATAAACCAGACAATTTCTATTCTCGGATTGAAGTTTGTGAATAATTAAAGAAAACTTCTTTAGATCACCCAAAAGGATATTGTATTTTGCTTCCAATGAATACAAATCTCTCTCATTTATCAATAATAGAGTTTTGCCATCTATTTTATGCTCAATTATTGCATTTAAAATCTCTTTACTTTCAATTTTATCTTTGAGGAAATTTTTAACATTTTCTATTGTCCAATTTAATATATTTTCGTTCATTTTTTTGAACTGAAATTCATTTAACAATATATCATTAACAGAAAACATTATCACTTTATTTTGAAACTACTTTAAATTCATTAAATTATAACATTTTTACAACACGAAACTTTTTGCCTTTTTTGCAATTTCCCTTGGAAACATTTCAAATGCTACTTGAATAACTTTATATTCAGTCTGTATAAATCAAGGGGCATATCCATTATATACATATATGTGTTTTTAAACATACATTTTCGAAAGGGAAATTAGTCACTAATAAAAATAAAATTTATTTCAGCTTTCAAAATTGTCTATTTAATTGTTGTGCATTAATTAATCAAGTCTAATTCTTTACAAAATGTTTTCGAGCGGACCAAATTACAATAAGCTAAAGACAAATCTTCGTCTAGCTGTAAATCGGCTTAAATTACTTGAAAAGAAGAAAACAGAGACAAATCAGAAGGCAAGAAAGGAAATTGCAGGTATTTGCGACTTAAACAATTTAATTTTAATGATTTTTGATAATTATTCACTTAAATTTTAAGATTTTTTGGAGATCCAAAAGCCTGATCGGGCAAGGATACGCGTTGAGCATATAATTAGAGAAGATGTAAGAAGAAATTTCTATAATTATGAGTCATCATTATAGTTGTACAATTAATTTCAGTATTTGGTAGAAGCTATGGAGATCCTTGAAATGTTTTGTGACTTGCTACTAGCGAGATTTGGCTTAATCACACAACTTAAGGAATTGGACGAAGGCATTTCTGAAGCTGTATCGAGTATTATTTGGGTAGCTCCTCGTTTGCAAGCTGATGTTGCTGAACTTAAAATAATATCAGATATGCTAACAGCGAAATACGGAAAGCCTTACAGTGATTCTTGTAGAGCATCTATTCCTCCATCAAATGTTTCTGAGAAACTTCAACATAAAATGAGCATTCAAGCCCCACCAAAGCTTCTCGTTGAAAAGTATTTAATTGAAATTGCAAAAATTTTCAATATCGACTATGAGCCTGATCAATCAATCATGAAGGACGAACAAAGGCCCGATGGATTTCTTATTGATCTTGGAGATAAGAACAATTTGGATGGAAATCTTCCTCAACCACCACCTCCCAATCCAGGCTTTATTGGATATCCTCAGCCTCCTAATCTACCAATTTTGCCTCAACCGTCGAATATTCCATTCAATTATCCAAGCGGTCCAAGTGGTGGAGCTTCTTCATCCTTTACAAGCTATCCAAGTGCTCCATATAATTATAATATACCGCCTAATCCCATGCCTCAGCAACCGCAATTTCCTTCAATGCCTGAGAAAAAGGACTTGAATGTCAACTTTTTGAATGTGAGTAAACTTAATTTTCTTTAATAACAGAACTAACATCATACAGACTTAAAGTATATGAGATTAAAATGTTTCTATATAATTTTAAATTTAAAACTCATATGCATGTTGTTGCACAATTAGGAGGAAAAAAGACATGAATCAATGCCTCCACCTTATTCTTCTATAAGTCCAGAGGATAATGCTCAGGTAAGAAAGAATTCTTTTAACAGTCGATTAGTTTAAAAATGCAAAAAAAAAATTCATTACTAACATGCAATCATTACAATGGAAACTCATTAAATTATTGGTACTTTGTAAGTTTTATTCTTCTCCATACTTTCTAATTTAGAACTGTTTAATTTTTTGTAAGATTTCGATTGATTGTCTTTATTTATTTTATATTTCAGTTTGTTCCAAATTTATCAATGCAACCAAAACCTGCACCGCGCGCAAAGGTAAATTTTTAAAGAAATTACTTACTACTGTAAGAGTTATTTGAACAATGGGCAATTCCACAGATCTGTTTATTTTCGCAGATCCATGTCTTTAATGTTTTCATAAAATGAAATTTGTTTTGCTAATGACGCTTGCATTTTTTCTACATGAGTTTATAATAATAATAATAATAATGAGTGAAGAGCCCAGCTTTTCACTGCGAGGTTCTGCGATTCAATTTGTAAAGAATTTATTGTACCATACTCTTTAGACCCACAGTTTATAGTGGGATCCGAACCACTTGCAAGCTCTGCACATTGCAAAGACACGAGTACGTCATAAGACCTGATGTACCCTACTATGTACCTCTTTTTCTTATTATTAAGGATTATTAATTCGATTGGTGTGATTTTACGTATGAACTGATTCTTACATAATGTTTTTCATCATCAGAAATAATGATGTTTTTCTTCAAAAATTTTCTTCATTCATTTTAGTCCCTGCTTATAAAGTTAAAAGTTATATTTTTTAATCAAAAAATTGAGATAAAGTTGGAAAAATAAAGGGTTTTTAGCAATGTTTTGTTTGAATAAGTGAATTGGACAGAATGAAAGAGCTCCGCGTTTTAAATAAGCTTGTGCAAAAATCAGATCTGCAAAGTTCCCTAATTAGGAGAAAATTCAATTCAAAGACGAAATTTTTTTAGAATGTCTGATTGAGGTGATCTCAAACTCCACAAGTTTTTAAAAATTATCTAAAAACTGTCATTAACTCAAATGACAAACATTTAACTGCCTTTCTGATTAGCTATAGAAATAAAGCTGAATTAATGAAAATATTCTGGTATTTCAATTACAAGCGTGTTCGCAAAATAGCGCCCTTAAATCCACTTCAAGACAGGAAACTGTCACTAAAAAGCAATTTGATTATTTAAAATTTATTGAATTTTAGGTTTTGCCTGATCTACCAAATGTTCCGTCAAATTTGCCTGATGTACCGAGTGAAAATACTCAAAACGCACCAGATGACTCTGAAATTGATTTCGATGATTTGACAAGAAGATTCGAAGAACTAAAGAAGCGTCACTAAGATGATAAATATTCTATTAAACAAAAATTTATATTGTTTCCTTTTGTATCTTATACGTTATAATAAAGCAGATTAAACAATTTTATCTTATTTTTGCTAAACCAGGCTAAACTTTAAGCTGGAAGTAAAAAGTGTTATGGTTTGAATTCCTATAAAAAAATTATTTTTCATTTTAATTAATTTGCGGTCTTGAAAAAGACCATTTGAGATTTTCGATGCAGCATAAAAAGCAATTAATTTTAATGATGTATATTTGGTGACAGCTTTTGTACCTTCTGAGACAGCGTGCTTGGCTAAATCACCAGGTCATTGCTTTTGAACCGGCAATTTAAAGCATTTTTGGTTTTGATCATAGTAGTCTATTTTCAAAAAAATATAGATTTTATATCTATATTAGCATTTTTTATCATTTATAATTCCAAGATATATTTTAAAATGCAATTTAAAGCATTTTTGGTTTTGATAATAGTAGGCTATTTTCAAAAATATATCGATTTTATATCTATATTAGCATTTTTTATCATTTATAATTCCAAGATATATTTTAAAATGCAATTTAAAGCATTTTTGGTTTTAATCATAGTAGGCTATTTTCAAAAAAATATAGATTTTATATCTATATTAGCATTTTTTATCATTTATAATTCCAAGATATGTTTTAAAATGCAATTTTAAGCATTTTTGGTTTTCGATCATAGTAAGCTATTTTCAAAAATATATCGATTTTATATCTATATTAGCATTCTTTATCATTTATAATACCCAGATATGTTTTAAAATGCAATTTAAAGCATTTTTGGTTTTGATCATAGTAAGCTATTTTCAAAAATATATCGATTTTATATCTATATTAGCATTCTTTATCATTTATAATACCAAGGTTTGTTTTAAAATGCAATTTAAAGCATTTTTGGTTTTGATCATAGTAGGCTATTTTCAACAAAATATCGATTTTATATCTATATTAGCATTCTTTATCATTTATAATACCCAGATATGTTTTAAAATGCAATTTAAAGCATTTTTGGTTCTGATCATAGTAGGCTATTTTCAAAAATATATCGATTTTATATCTATATGGCATTCTTTATCATTTATAATACCAAGGTTTGTTTTAAAATGCAATTTAAAGCATTTTTGGTTTTGATCATAGTAAGCTATTTTCAAAAATATATCGATTTTATATCTATATTAGCATTCTTTATCATTTATAATACCCAGATATGTTTAAAAATGCAATTTAAAGCAGTTTTGTTTTTGACCATAGAAGGCTATTTTCAAAAATATATCGATTTTATATCTATATGGCATTCTTTATCATTTATAATACCAAGGTTTGTTTTAAAATGCAATTTAAAGCATTTTTGGTTTTGATCATAGTAGGCTATTTTCAACAAAATATCGATTTTATATCTATATTAGCATTCTTTATCATTTATAATACCCAGATATGTTTTAAAATGCAATTTAAAGCATTTTTGGTTCTGATCATAGTAGGCTATTTTCAAAAATATATCGATTTTATATCTATATGGCATTCTTTATCATTTATAATACCAAGGTTTGTTTTAAAATGCAATTTAAAGCATTTTTGTTTTTGATCATAGAAGGCTATTTTCAAAAAAATATCGATTTTATATCTATATTAGCATTCTTTATCATTTATAATACCCAGATATGTTTTAAAATGCAATTTAAAGCATTTTTGGTTTTGATCATAGTAGGCTATTTTCAAAAAAATATCGATTTTATATCTATATTAGCATTCTTTATCATTTATAATACCAAGGTTTGTTTTAAAATGCAATTTAAAGCATTTTTGGTTCTGATCATAGTAGGCTATTTTCAAAAATATATCGATTTTATATCTATATTAGCATTCTTTATCATTTATAATACCCAGATATGTTTTAAAATGCAATTTAAAGCATTTTTGGTTTTGATCATAGTAGGCTATTTTCAACAAAATATCGATTTTATATCTATATAGCATTCTTTATCATTTATAATATCAACGTTTGTTTTAAAATGCAATTTCAACCATTTTTGGTTTTGATCATAGTAGGCTATTTTCAAAAATATATCGATTTTATATCTATATAGCATTCTTTATCATTTTTAATACCAAGGTTTGTTTTAAAATGCAATTTAAAGCATTTTTGGTTTTGATCATCGTAGGCTATTTTCAAAAAAAAAAAAAATATCGATTTTACATATAAATTAGCATTCTTTATCATTTATAATACCCAGATATGTTTAAAAATGCAATTTAAAGCAGTTTTGTTTTTGACCATAGAAGGCTATTTTCAAAAAAATATCGATTTTATATCTATATTAGCATTCTTTATCATTTATAATACCAAGGTTTGTTTTAAAATGCAATTTAAAGCATTTTTGGTTTTGATCATCGTAGGCTATTTTCAAAAAAAAAAAATATCGATTTTACATATAAATTAGCATTCTTTATCATTTATAATACCCAGATATGTTTAAAAATGCAATTTAAAGCAGTTTTGTTTTTGACCATAGAAGGCTATTTTCAAAAAAATATCGATTTTATATCTATATAGCATTCTTTATCATTTATAATACCAAGGTTTGTTTTAAAATGCAATTTAAAGCATTTTTGGTTTTGATCATAGTACGCTATTTTCAAAAATATATCGATTTTATATCTATATTAGCATTCTTTATCATTTATAATACCCAGATATGTTTTAAAATGCAATTTAAAGCATTTTTGGTTCTGATCATAGTAGGCTATTTTCAAAAATATATCGATTTTATATCTATATGGCATTCTTTATCATTTATAATACCAAGGTTTGTTTTAAAATGCAATTTAAAGCATTTTTGTTTTTGATCATAGAAGGCTATTTTCAAAAAAATATCGATTTTATATCTATATTAGCATTCTTTATCATTTATAATACCCAGATATGTTTTAAAATGCAATTTAAAGCATTTTTGGTTTTGATCATAGTAGGCTATTTTCAAAAAAATATCGATTTTATATCTATATTAGCATTCTTTATCATTTATAATACCAAGGTTTGTTTTAAAATGCAATTTAAAGCATTTTTGGTTTTGATCATAGTAGGCTATTTTCAAAAATATATCGATTTTATATCTATATTAGCATTCTTTATCATTTATAATACCCAGATATGTTTTAAAATGCAATTTAAAGCATTTTTGGTTTTGATCATAGTAGGCTATTTTCAACAAAATATCGATTTTATATCTATATAGCATTCTTTATCATTTATAATATCAACGTTTGTTTTAAAATGCAATTTCAACCATTTTTGGTTTTGATCATAGTAGGCTATTTTCAAAAATATATCGATTTTATATCTATATAGCATTCTTTATCATTTATAATATCAACGTTTGTTTTAAAATGCAATTTAAAGCATTTTTGGTTTTGATCATAGTAGGCTATTTTCAAAAATATATCGATTTTATATCTATATGGCATTCTTTATCATTTATAATACCAAGGTTTGTTTTAAAATGAAATTTAAAGCATTTTTGGTTTTGATCATAGTAGGCTATTTTCAAAAATATATCGATTTTATATCTATATGGCATTCTTTATCATTTATAATACCAAGGTTTGTTTTAAAATGAAATTTAAAGCATTTTTGGTTTTGATCATAGTAGGCTATTTTCAAAAATATATCGATTTTATATCTATATGGCATTCTTTATCATTTATAATACCAAGGTTTGTTTTAAAATGCAATTTAAAGCATTTTTGGTTTTGATCATAGTAGGCTATTTTCAAAAATATATCGATTTTATATCTATATGGCATTCTTTATCATTTATAATACCAAGGTTTGTTTTAAAATGCAATTTAAAGCATTTTTGGTTTTGATCATAGTACGCTATTTTCAAAAATATATCGATTTTATATCTATATAGCATTCTTTATCATTTATAATACCAAGGTTTGTTTTAAAATGCAATTTAAAGCATTTTTGGTTTTGATCATAGTAGGCTATTTTCAAAAATATATCGATTTTATATCTATATAGCATTCTTTATCATTTATAATACCAAGGTTTGTTTTAAAATGCAATTTAAAGCATTTTTGGTTTTGATCATAGTAGGCTATTTTCAAAAATATATCGATTTTATATCTATATGGCATTCTTTATCATTTATAATACCAAGGTTTGTTTTAAAATGAAATTTAAAGCATTTTTGGTTTTGATCATAGTAGGCTATTTTCAAAAATATATCGATTTTATATCTATATGGCATTCTTTATCATTTATAATACCAAGGTTTGTTTTAAAATGCAATTTAAAGCATTTTTGGTTTTGATCATAGTAGGCTATTTTCAAAAATATATCGATTTTATATCTATATAGCATTCTTTATCATTTATAATACCAAGGTTTGTTTTAAAATGCAATTTAAAGCATTTTTGGTTTTGATCATAGTAGGCTATTTTCAAAAATATATCGATTTTATATCTATATAGCATTCTTTATCATTTATAATATCAACGTTTGTTTTAAAATGCAATTTCAACCATTTTTGGTTTTGATCATAGCCAATGAGTGCTGATGAGAACTAATTTTCGATTTCGAAGGATCTAATTTTCGAGCGCGGGAAAAAAAATTTGAATTTGAAATTTCCGTTACAATTATTTGTTTACATTTTGCATTTAAATTACTTCTTGAAAAAAGAATCTTCATGGGGGCCATTCACTTATTACGTAACGCTTTTAGGGGGAGGGGGGGGGTCTAAGATTTTGTTACGGTTCAAACAAGGAAATTTTTTTTTCATACAAATTTTGTTACGAGGGGGGGGGGGGGGGGTCTAAGAAGTCATTTTTTCGCGTTACGTAATAAGTGAACAGCCCCATGGGAACTTTCAGTAGAAGTTAAATGCTTTTTAATGTGTCTAGAATTCATTTATAGGCTATTAAATTGTCTTATTTCATGTTCTGATCCTTCATTTAATCAACAATTTATTGATACAGTAATTGCCGAAGTTGAAGTAGTTTTTGAACATTGTGAAGAAACGATTGATAAACTATTAAAAGCTTTTGTTAAATTTAGAGCAAAATTTCAGTATCCGTGTTGATTAATACATAAAAGAAACAATTTTGCATCAAAAAACAATTGAAATAAATTTGTTTCT